CTTTGAATGTACAAATCTGCTTGACATTAAGATCACCTTTATTGGGCTGGACATGGTGGTACATACCTTTAATCTTAGCACTGGCAGGCAGAGGCCGGAGTTTGAACCCAGCCTAGTCTACAAAGTGAGTTCCAGGACAGCCAGGACTGTTACACAGAGAAACCCTGCCTCAAAAACAAACAAAAAGATCACTGTGTCCAGCCTTGATAAAGAGACAGGTACATTTATTACTGAGATGAGTTACTGGAATATCACAGCAAACCCTGTACTAGCTCAGCGTGTATGCCGTCAACTGATTGCCCACCTCAGAGCTGAGTGAAATGTGATGAAGAACACAGTGCTAGATTTGTTGGATAGCCATACAGAAAAACAAATCCATGCTCACAGGGTTAAAACAGAAAAAAAGGCAAGGGGAAAAATGGATAAAGGGTCAGAGAGATGGATCGGTGGTTAAAAGCACTTCTGCTCTTGCAAAGGACCAGAGTTCCATTCCCAGCATCCACGGTGGGCAGCTCACAACCTCCTGCAACTCCAGTTCCAGGGGATCCAAAGCCCTCTTCTCTTTCTGTGGGCAACCACACACATAAACATAAAATAAATATTTTCAAACCTTTTATTTGAAAGGGGGTCCCTATGTAGCCCAGGGTGGCCTGAATTCTTGATCCTGCTGTCTGTCTTCCCCATGTTGGATTATATGTATGCACCACCATGCCCGACCTTTCTTTCCATTTGTTTGTTTGAAACAGGGTTTTTCTGTGTAGCCCTGACTGTTCTGGAACTCATGCTGTAGACCTGGCTGGCCTCGAACTTGGAGATCTGCCTCCCTTTGCCTCCTGAGTGCTGGGATTAAGGTGTGTGCCACCACTGCTTGGCTCCTAATTATTTTAAAAAATAATTTATTTTCCTTTATTTTATATGCATTGGGTTGAAGGTATCAGTTCCCCTGGAACTAGAGTTACAGATACTTGTAAACTGCCATGTGGATGCTGGTGCTGGAAACTGAACCTTGGTCCTCTGGAAGAACAGTCAGTACTCTTAACTGGAGCCATCTCTCCAGCCCCTCAGCTCCTAATTATAACTATTTAGACACTTAGGTTTCCTAGGGTCATTGTTGAAAAGATTAACATTTGCCTTATGGAATGGCCTTGATACCTTTATTGAGAATCAGTTGCCCATGTGAGTTATTGCACCTGTTGCTCAGACCCAAATTCTTGGACTCATCTTGTCTTTTTCTCACTTGCTACATATCTAGTCCATCACCACATCTGACTTTAATGTCAACAGATTTTGTTCCTATTGGCACACCACTCTAAAACCATTGGCTGCATTACCATTTTCCCTGTGTGTCTGGCAGTCGACAGGCCAGAGCAGGAGAGTTTGCATAGGGTCTGTCCTAGTTAGGGTTTCTATTACTTCAATCAAACGCCATAACCAAAGCAGATTGGGGAGGAAAGGGTTTATTTTGGCTTACATTTACAGATTGCAGTCTGAAGGAAGGCGGAACAGGAACTCACACAGAGCAGGAACCTGCAGGCAGGAGCTGATACAGAGGCCACGGAAGGGTGCTGCTTACTGGCAGCCCAGGGATGGCCCCACCCACAGTGGGCTGGGCTGGGCCCTCCCTGTCAATCACTAATTAATAAAATGCCCTACATGTTTGCATAGAGTCTGATAATATGGAGGCATTTTCTCAGTTGAGGTCCCCTCCTCTCAGATGACTCAAGCTCCTGTCAAGTTGACATAAAAACCAGCCAGGCCAGGCTCTCACGTGGTTGCAGTTGGGTGGTGTCCTTGGCTGAAGGCACCATCAGAGCCTTCTGTACTCATGGGTCTGCTGCCTGGGCTGCAGGATCTGAGCTTCTCAGGCACCGTTCTTCCTCTGTTTCTCTGTAAAGCTTTCTTGATTTGCTCTCTCTTTATGGAACCTCGGAGTAGCCAAACTTCTTACATGGAAGTTGAAGATTGTGATGGCAACAGCTTGGTAATGCACTCAAGTGCATTTTCAACAGCTGCAGACATCTTCTTCCTGCTGTCCACAGCAAGGTCACAGCTGTTTGCATCAGGAGTTGGTTAAGAACCTGGGTGCATTCTTGCTCAGTCCCTCATTGATGCTGTTAAAGTAGTTATTATGGGATTCCCAACCAAAGTGAACTTGCAAATTTGTCTTTATTTAATAATTGCAGTGGACTGAATGGTGATGCCTTCTAAAAGATACATCCTTGTCCCAATCCCTGGAACTTGTATTACCTTTGATGACAAAGGTGTGAATGTTCCTTAATGTGATAAAATGTGTGGCTGAGTGGGATGGTGAGGTATGGGTCAGCAATTGAGAGCACATGCTGCTCTTATAGAAGACCCAGGTTCTGTTCCCAGTACCCACTGCAGACAGCTTACAACTGCTTACAGCTCTAGCACCAGTGATATGTAACAGCTCTGGCCCCGTGGGCACCTACACTCAAGTTCACATACACATGTACACACAATAAAAAGATTAAAGGTGTGACTGGGTTATTGATCTCAGATGAGGAACTTACCTTAATACAATTGTGGGTATCCTTACAAGGAAGATACCCCAGCATGATGGCCCACCTTTTAATCCCAGCACTCAGAGGCAGAGGCAGGTGGATCTCTGTGAGTTCGAGGCCAGCCTGGTCTACATAGTGAGTCTAGGTCACCTGGGGCTACATAGTGAGACCCTGTCTCTAAAACAAAACTAAGAAGAGAAGAATATGCCCTAGATAATACTGTGATTGATGGCAGGGTCAGAGAGTGGCATAACCCTTCTTCAAGCCCAGGAATACCAGGGCAGCTACCATGAACTGGCAGAGAGAGACAAGGAGTGGGTTATCTCCTAGCGCCTCTGGAAAGAACAGGGCCCTGCCAGTTTTTTTAAATTTTATTTATTAATTTATTTTGGTTTTTCAAGACAGGGTTTCTCTGTAGCTTTGGAACCTATCCTGGCACTTGCTCTGTAGACCAGGCTGGCCTTGAACTCACAGAGATCCGCCTGCCTCTGTCTCCCGAGTGCTGGGATTAAAGGCGTGCGCCACCACCGCCCCGCTCCTTGCCAGTTTTAGACAAGCAATGACTAGGGTTGGGAGAGAATATGTTTTTCCCACATACTCCACCTCATTTATACTCATTTGCTGATGTGTCTCAGGAAGCCAGCGCAATAACCATCTTTCGCTCACTGTGGCAAATATCAGGGCCTCAGAAAATCTTTGCAGCCTGCCTCTCTACTTCACCTGATGGTCACTGCCAGATGGCCTATTAGTGGAACTACTGGTCTCTATACAGCTAGTAAAAGTATCTCTTTAGGGACTGGAGAGATGGCTCGGTGGATAAGAGCACTGACTACTCGTTTAGAGGTCCTGGGTTCAATTAATTCACAGCACCCACATGATGGTTATAACCCAAGTACCAGGAGATCCAAGCCCTCTTCTAGCAGGCAGGAGGATTTTGTGTTTGAATTCTAGGCCAGCCTGGTTCATAGGATGATACCCTGTCTCAGTCAATCAATCAATCAATCAATCAATCAATCAATCAATCAACCAACCAACCAACCACTCACTCTCACACACACACACACCAAAATAAAACAAAACCCAACAACAACAAAACAACCCCTTAAATGAGTATATATTGCAAAAACAATCAAATCTCCACATGGATGGAGAATGTCCTTGTTAAGGGGTTTGGGGTAGCAATACCTCATGCTGTTATAAGGAGTGATAATAGCTTGTTTGAACATCTAAGTCAGGTACTCAGAGAAGGAGGCCAGGGCTATCCTCTGTCTCAGCAAACATGCAAACAGAAAATTCAAAGCCAGGCATGGTGGTGCACGCCTTTCATCCCAGCACTTGGGAGGCAGAGGTAGACAGATCTCTGAGTCTGAGGCCAGCCTGGTCTACATATCAAGTTCCAGACTTGTCAGCTAGAGCTAGATCGTGAGACCCTTTTTCAAAATAAAATAAAATAAAGGAGATAGAAAAGAAAGGAAGGAAGGAAGGAAGGAAGGAAGGAAGGAAAACAGAGAAGGAAACTGACAAAACTATAGCACAAGGAGGCATTCGAGTCCTCTTAGGGCCTGTACTGTGGCCTGTAGGCCTGTCTTCAGACAACTTTAGCTTTTCAGGGCACTTCACCTTCTAACCTTGACTCTGTGGTAGCAAAGTCAGTGGTGGTGTCTGCAGTCCGCTGTTCAATCCGAATCAGTGGACAACTTAGTCTAAAAAGGTTGTCTATGTAAGTCTATGCATATGACCATTGTGTGTTTGTGTTCATGTGTGTCTACATGTATATATATGCATATGACCATAAGTATACATGTGTGCTTGTGTGTGTCTACATGTGTATGTATATACATATGTCTATGTGTAGACCATGTGTAAGTGCCTATATGCATGAATGCGTGTGTGCGTGTGTCCGTGCGTGTCTGTGCGTATGTCCGTGCGTGTGTGTGTGTGTGTGTGTGTGTGTGTGTGTGTGTGTTGGCATGTGTGTGCACAGAGGCCAGCAGCAGGTATCAGGTGCCCCTTTATTAGAAAACTATACAAGTGCAAACTCTCAGAGGCTGTATTGGCACTGAGAGGGGGACCCTACCAATCTAATTCCATTCTCAAGGTAGACACCAACATGGAAAGCAGATTCCCTCAGCCAGTATTTGGAGCAACCTAATGGGCTTCACATGATCAATTAAACCTGTTGACAGTGAGCGTGTTACTTGATATTTTCTAGAAAGTTCTGACAAGACATCAGCAATCAGGGTTTCTCCAGGTCACAGATCCAGGAAGGTAGTGTTGGGCTATGCAATGAACAACACTGCACGGTGAATTCCAGTGTGAACTCTCAGCTGCGTGCATCTGGCTCCAGGGAAGATGAGTGGGGGTCAGGCTGATAGTCTACAGGCCTGCAGCTGGCTTCAATCAAAGACATAAAGCTGCAGGTGGCAATCCCACTAAATGCTGCCATCTTTGGCCAAGCCTTTAAAATCAAAGCAAGTCGGGGAGAAGAAGAGTGAGTGTGGGCTTAGGCCATGTAAGATGGAGATCCATTTGCCTAATGTGCCAATGCTGAATATCTTCTCCCATCTGGATGCCTTCAGCTTACTCCAAGCTGCCCAAGTGAACAAGGTAAAGACTCCACTTTTTAATGCTGTCTAATCAACCAGCTCTGTGCCTGAATTCCTGCTCTTTGTATATTCCTACAAAAGGCCCCACTGGCCTATCACCCCCAGCCATAGAGTTAGCGACCCCAGCATATACTCACCCAGCCTTCTTCAAGCCTGTCCGTGCAGTTCTGACACCCTAGCGTCTCGGGTCATTTGCTTCTCTTGATGAATGTCAGTGTCAAGCTCCAGAATAGCGAAGGGATACGTCGAAGGCTTATGGGATAGCATCAGCATTCACTCTGAAGACCTCAAGTCCTGCTAAACGAGCCAGGAGTGCTGGTGCACCCCTGTAATCAAAGCACGTGGGAGATAGAAGCAAGGGGATCAGGAGTGGGCTGGAGAGGTGGCTCAGAGGTTAAGAGCACTGACTGGTCTTCCAGAGGTCCTGAGTTCAATTCCCAGCAACCACATGGTGGTTCAGAGCCACCTACAATGAGATCTCATACCCTCTTCTGGCTTGCATGCCAGAACACTGTATACATAATAAATAAATAAATCTTTAAAAAAACAAAAAACTGATCATCACCTCGGAGGCCTGGAAGAGGCCTGGATTAGGAGTTTGGGTCATAGTCAGTGAAAGGGTGAATTTAAAGCTAGTCTAGGCTGCTAGAGACCCTATTACAAAACAATGATGGCAACACCAAAATTCTGTTAAACGAGAGGAACAAGCTGATGTGTGGATTTGGGCTGCTGCTATGTGAGGTCCTTGAGATTCCCACGTCAAAGGTTTGGAGACTGGCCCACCTTCCTCTCCCAGGTGACTTGTGTTTGCTTGGGGTAGCTGGGCCTGGAGAGCTGGGATTAAGTTTTATGAACCTCTGTAAGCCCAGCCCAGCCCAAGCAGGGAGGATTGCTGGCTTAAGGGCTCCTTTTTCTTCTGTAGACCTGGAATGAGGTTGCAAGCAGTGACTTCCTCTGGAGGTAAGAAAGGGGCGGGCTGGAAGGGAAGAGACTTGGGGGGAGAGGGGTTTCTGAATCTGCACTTGGACCGCTGGTGTGTGAGATACACTCAGTAAAATGAATGTGATGAGTTGTGCACTGTAACAGTGGCTCCAAGGAGGTGCGCTGACTGGGATTGTGACTGTGCCTTTCAGGAAGCTGTGTCTGAAGAGATGGTTTTTTCCACACATGCCTCGAAAGTGCTGGCATGAACAGACATGGAAGCAGTTCTTCCTTTGCCAAACTAGGCAAGAGCACTCTATGTCCCGGGCAAGGCCAGAAGACTTCGTCTACAAAGAAATGTTCGGGGACTTTGGTATGGGCGTGGGTACCTAGAAGAGACACCCACTCGGTATTTCCCCCATTCTATGTAGTCTTATATTCTCATTTAATAACAGCAGGGAGCCTGGCAGTAGTGGCCCATGCCTTTAATCCCAGCAATCGGGAGGCAGAGGCAGGAGGAGCTACAATTCATTGGGTTGGGTTGGGGTTGCTGTCTAGTCATGGAACCAACCCTGATTCCTGTCTTATCTCCTGTGATCTGAATGGGACACCCAGAGTGATTCTTAACAGCATAAAGCCAGCCCAGCCCTATCACTCCACATTCCTAGAGACTTCCTACTCTCCCCAGAATACAGAGAGGGCTGAATGGGGAAATTACCAAACAGCACAAGCTTTACTATTTACCTTTCCCTAAAAACCTCCTTGCAACAGTTTTCTGATGAAGAGAGACTTCAAATTTTTACATTTATTATTTTTAGTGTATGCATATGTGATGTATGCACATCAAGTGTATGTCAGAAGACAACTTTGTGGAATCCATTCTCCTGATAAAGAGTCACTTTTGGCTCGTTTGTCACCCCTCAACTATCTAGTGTCCAAATATTGTTGGGGTTCCCTTGCAGGAGTTCAGGGATATATGAGCTATCTCTCAAAAAGTGGCTTAACAATGAACCCAGAAGAAAAATCGGTGGTCTGTGCGGTGACTTCCAAGACAAGGCTTACTGCCTGGGATATAGGAGAGGTAAGTCTGGAGGAGGAGTAGCAAAACAGATCTGGGCCTGAATCCTGATCCCGAATTCATCTTTTTGTGTTGAGACAGGGTCTCCCTTACAGCCTGTGCTGTCCTGGAACTCCCTGTGTAGACTGACGAGCCTCTGCCTCCCACGTTTGGGTTTAAGGTGTTCACCACCACTTCTGTTTCCCCCTCTTTTTTCTTTAAATTTATTCATGTTATGTGTATAAGTGTTTTCCCTGGATATATGGATGTGTACCCCATGTGTTCCCAGTGCCTGTGGAGGTCACAGGAGGGAGTCAGATCCCTTAGAACTGGAGTTACCGATGGTTGTGAGCGGTGGGTGCTGGGCACGGAACCCAAGCTCGCTGCTGAGTCATCCTCCAGAGCCTCTGGTGTCCTAAAGTTTTCATTTTAGAGATCTTTCATGGACTGCTTAGGTTTTCCCTTAGGCGTTTTGTGTTTTTGTTTCTTGAGACAGAGTTTCTCTGTGTAACCGCCCTGGCTGTCCTGGAACTCACCTCAAACTCACATTCCCAAGTGCTGGGATTAAAGGTGTGCACACTGCCGGGATGATTCTCAGGATATGTGTGTGTGTGTGTGTGTGTGTGTGTGTGTGTGTGTGTGTGTGTGTGTGTGTGTGTGTGTGCCTGTGTGAGCTTATAGCTCGTGGACTGGCAGAGGCCAGAGAGTGTTGGATTGTTACAGGAGAGTATGAGATGTTCTTTAGGCTCTGAGAGCCCAGTTCGGGTCTTCTGTAAGAGCAGTCATTCCTCTTAACGGCCCTAACCCGTTACTCCAGAGAGAGTTGGATTGTTACAGGAGAGTATGAGATGTTCTTTAGGCTCTGAGAGCCCAGTTCGGGTCTTCTGTAAGAGCAGTCATTCCTCTTAACGGCCCTAACCCCTTACTCCAGAGAGAGTTGGATTGTTACAGGAGAGTATGAGATGTTCTTTAGGCTCTGAGAGCCCAGTTCGGGTCTTCTGTAAGAGCAGTCATTCCTCTTAACGGCCCTAACCCCTTACTCCAGGGTTTTGTTGTTGTTTTGAGGCTGTTGTGAATACGGTTGCTTCCCTGGTTGCTCCTTCACTTTGTTTATTGGTAATGGGAAGGTCACTGGTTTATTTTTGTCTTATATTAATTTTGTAGCTTGTCAATTTGCTGGACGCTTAATCAGTTTTCTGGCGGAGTCTTCAGGATCTCTTAAGGGCCGAACCAGGGTTTCCAATAAGGCTCCTTTAGCATCTCCCTTTCCTATTGGTATCCTGTTTGCTTCTCTTGGTTTATTGCTCTAGCTAAAACAATACCATATGGTTTTAAAAGTGAGAGAAGAGTGGAAAGTGTGGCTCTCCTTGTCTTGTTTCTGATGTTGCTGGAAATGCTTTGAGGTTTTTGTATTTGTTACTGAATATAAGAAGTTACTGTACAGAAACCGCCAATGAGACTACTTCATGATAATGATTGCAGTTTTTATTGTAGATAAGAGAGAATAGCCAGAGGCATCTAGAAAATCCAGAGCAGAGAGAAAAAAATTAGACTGGACATGGCCAGAGCTAGGGAAGCCGGAGAGCAGGAGAGAATAGTGGAGATAGTAGGAGGGAGAGAATACAGCATAGAGCACAGTGAGAGTAATCAGGAATAGTGTGGGTTATAAGGCTGGTGAGTACTGAGGGGGACAGAAGGGCCAGGAGACTGGATGGGGGCTTTGAAATATATAACAAGTATTTGTGAGTAGGGAGCCTGGAGGCCACTTTGATATGATATGCAGCCACAAGCATATCAACGGAGCCATATATCCCTTCAACCACTTTACCAGCCCCCTGGTGTACTCTTGAATTCAGTTTGCAAGTATTTTGTTGAGAATTTCTGTATTTATGTTCATGTTCATATTGGCTATTACTTCCCCCACCCATTTTTAGAATGCCAAGGTCAGGGGAGACAGTTCAGTGTGCAAGCATGAGGACAGATTCCAGTTGTTAGAACTCACCTAGAAGCTGGATATGGTGTGTGTGTGTGGGGGGGGTGTGGGGGTGGGGGTGTGGGGGGGTGTGGGGGTGGGGGTGTGGGGGTGGGGGTGTGGGGGTGGGGGTGTGGGGGTGGGTGGGGGGGTGGGGGTGGGGGGGGGTGGGTGGGGGTGGGTGGGGGTGGGTGGGGGTGGGTGGGGGTGGGGGTGTGTGTGTGTGTGTGTGTGTGGGTGGGTGGGTGGGTGGGTGTGTGGTCTCAGAGTCCTCTGGGAAATAGGAGGCAGAGATTTCTTTTATCTAGTTTAGGTATTGGGTAATAAAAGATTCATAGTTTGGTAGCTGGGCAGTGGTGGCCCACACATTTTAATCCCAGCCCTTGGGAGGCAGAGGCAGGTGGACCTCTGTGGGTTCGAGGCCATCCTGGTCTACAGAGCGAGTTCCAGGATAGTCAAGGCTACACACAGAAACCCCGTCTCAACCTCCCACCCCACACACACAAAGTTCGATAATGTGTCTTCCTTTCCTGTGACTTGGAAAGGTTTGAGAAGCGTTAGTGTTAGTTTTGCTTTGAAGGTTTGGTAAAATTCACCAGGGAATTAATCTGGCCCTGGAAAATTTTTTTAAAGATTTATTTATTTTGTATACACTATTCTGTCTGCATGTCAAAAGAGGGCAACAAGTCTCATTACAGATGGTTGGGAGCTGCCCTGTGGGTGCTGGGAATTGAACTCAGGACCACTAGAAGAGCAGCCAGGGCCTTATCTCCAGCCCCAGACCTGGATGTCTATTTGTTTGGCTTTTGCTCTTTTTTTCCCTTTTTGCATGTGTATGTATGTTGTATACATCCATGTATACATTCCTGCTCAAGTCTCAGTTTAATTTTGGTAGGTCATATACAGCTAGAAATGTGTCCATTTTTATTTTTCAACTTATTGAAAAATATTTTTAAGGTAGGGTCTAATTAGCATCTGAATTTTGCTGATATCTGTCATAATGGCTCCCTTGTGTAATTTTATAGATTTGGGTAATTTACTTTGTTTTTATTTTCATTTTGTTAATGTCTGACCCATCTCTTTATTGTGCTTGTATTTGCGCATGTATGTGTACATTCGTGTGCACACACTCATGTGCCTACAATACCATGGCCCGTGTGTGAAGGTCAGAGGACAGCCTGTGGGAGTTAGTCTCCTCTTTCGGTCGTGTGGGTGTCAGCTGGTTGAACTTGGATCATCAGTCTTGGTGGCAAGTGCCTATACCTGCTAGGTCATCTCACTGGCCCCTTTGCCTGGATTTTAGTGATTTATTTATGTCTAACTTTGGGGTTGGTGTGTTTTATTTCCCAGGCATGTAGTTAAGTTATTTGAGGTTTCTCTAAAGTTTATTTTGAGACAAAGTCTCACTGTGTAGCCCTGATTAGCATGGAACTCACAGATCACATGTCCCTGACTGTGGCTCATGATTTCTCCTCTCTCTAACACTCTGATGTATTAATGCAGGAGCTTGGATCTGTAAACTTTTTTCCTAGGACTGCTTTCACTGTATTTCGTGGTTTTTATATGTTGTGCTTTTGTCTTCATTCAATATTAGGATTTTTTTTCTTTACCCTTTTGATTTCTTCAATGACCCCATTCATCAGTTTGATCTCTGTGAGTTTGCATATGCTCTAGAGATCCTATGGCTGTTGGTTATAGCTTTATTCCAGTATATTCTCTTAGAATATACCCTATGTGTGCTGCAATATTTAGATAGAATGTTCTGTAGACGTCTCCTAATTTTTTTTAACCTATGATGTCATTTAATTCAATATCTGTTCATTTTTCTGTCAGGAGGACCTGCCATTTGGTGAGTGGAGTATTGAAGTCACCCACTACTATTGTGCTGGGATTGATCTGTGGCTTTCCAGGAGTATTTGTTTTACAAAATTGAATACCCCATTGTTTGGTGCATATGCTTAGTATTGTAATGTTCTCTTGGTGTATCATTTTCTTAATCAGAATGAAGTGATCTTTATCCCTTCTGGCTAGTTTCAGCTTGAAATCTATTTTGTCAGATAGTTAAACCACACCTGTTTGTTTCTTAGGTCCATTGCTTGAATTCCGTTCTCCATCCTCTTATCCTAGGATAGTGTCTGTCTTTTATGGTGAGACGCATCTTGGGAGACTTTTTGCTACGAGCTAAGCTTTGTTACCTGCTCTTGATCTCTTAAGTGTTTTTTTTTTTCTCTTGACTCAATTTTAGTAGGTTTTACTACACAAGTGTGTCAATTTCTTTCTGAATTTATAAGGCGACTCCCATGGTAGTAGCACACCAATTTGTCAAGCTGTGGCTTCATCAATGTAGGGAACCTACATAGATGTTGTGTGATTCTTAGGTCTGCCAAGCTTGTGCGTGCCTGCCTGGGAGCAGGAGCTGTGCCCTTCTGGGGATGAGGTCATTGACACAGGCTGTTTTCCCTATGATTCACTCTATGGTAGTGTCTGCCAGGGATTGGTGTACCTTATCCCAGAAGCTAAACAGAACAGAATGTGGCGGTCACTGGGCATAGTTTCTCCTGGGACCTTCTTAAGCTGTGTGTGTTAGGGGAGGAAGGACAGTGGGAGCTGTGACAGCATTGCTTGACACAGTGCCAGGACACCTGTACAGGTGGAAAGTCTGGGAAATCTCAGTTCTCTCTTCCCATCTGGTTTGTTAAAGTTTGGAGCCCATATGCAGCTCTGGGAGAGGAACAGTGAGGACCATACAGGCCACTACTTTTCACCCTAGTCCCTGTGGGAAAGTACACAGGACTGACCATGCCTGAGGTTCTTAGGGGAAGTACCCATGGCTTGTCTCCACATCATGATGCCAAATCTCCACTGTGCAATCCCTGTTGGTTTGTGCAAGAGTTTCTTCTGTGTACTCTAATTTGTGAGACAGCCACATGCTGAGACAGTGTAGTAGAATGTCTAAGGGGTCCCAGGCATGGAATGTGCAGGCTTCCTCACTCAGAGCAGTGTATGGGGTCCCATGTATAGAATGTGCAGTCTTCCTCACTTCCAGAGTGGTCTATGAGGTTCCCAGGCATGGGGTATGCAAAGTTTCTCACTCCCAGAGCAGTCTATTGGGCTCCCAGGTGTGGGGTGTGTGAAGGCCTCCTCACTCCCAGGACAGTGTATGGGGTCCCAGGCGTAGGTTGTGCAGACTTCCTCACTTCCAGAGCGGTCTATGGGGTTCCCAGGCATGAGGCATGTAGGCTTTGTCACCCCCAGAGCAGTCTACAGGGTTCCAGGCATGGGATATGCAGGCTTTCTCCCAGAGAAGTCTAAATGTATGTCCTAGATTTCTTCTCAAGGTGGCTCCTGGTTACAGCATTTTATGGGGGCTCTGGCAGGTAAAATAAGTTCTTTGTCTCTGTAGAGGGACAACTGGTCCTCTTCTAGATGGAGATGCTAGCAGTAGGTGACAGTATTCTTGTTTCTCTTGGTATGTCCTTCCCTGTTCTGAGTTTTCATGTTTCATTTTTTTAATGGTTGAATCTCAGTGCTCTGTAGTCATGTATTAAAGTACACAGCTATGTGCCTGTGTCCCCCATCCTCCATGGAGAAGAGGGTGAATGAATTCTGGATGCCTTTATGAGTATACTGTTTATTTTCTGTTCTCTCAAATATTTTTCTTATTTTAAAAGAGTCTGTGTTATATAATGATGGAATGAACATTGAGAGAAGGTCTCACCTTCAATTCTGCCTGGCCTGGAACTATGTGAACCAGGCTGGCCTCTCTGATTCAACAGAGATCTGCCTGCCTCCTGAGTGACTACAGGCTTGGGCCAACAACACGGCAAACGTGTTTTGTTTTTGTTTGTTTGTTATACAGGTCACAGGTCACTTGTTATGTCACAAATGTTTAGATACATTGGCACTTGCAGCAAAGTGAAAATGTGCCATAATGAACTGGGTGATCTTGAGGTTGGATTTTTGGTCATTTTGTTTTAGGAAGTGTTTAAGACAGAGTATCAGATGGTTCCTCAGACTCATGGGAACCCTCTTAGTCCTGCCTCTAAGTGCTAGGATGCAGTAGTGGATCAGCATACCTGGCAGAGAGAGCTAAGAGTCATGTGCTACACGGTACTAAACACTTTACTAGGCTGCCTTTCAAAGGGATCAAAGTGGTAGTCACATTTTAGTGACGGATGTTAACTCAAAGGGGAGATTATGTTTAAGGGGAAGAAGGTGTTACTAATAGTTCCCATGTAAATAGAGTTAAGGCTTAGAAATGGTTATATTGGTCATTGCCTATATTTTTACTAAATTCACATTAATATTTATGCTTTTGGCTTTTGTTTTTAACTGGTGGCATGTGGGGGTATGGGTTTGGGAGTGTGGGTATTTTGTGTTATTTCTAAGCTAAAGAAAAGCCTGGAAGAGAACCATTTTTGTTTGCAATGTATAAGAATTGATGATACAGTAACAAGTTTGCGAAGATTAATTCACTGTGAATAGGTTTCTCGTAAAACTTAATACTAAATTGGACCTTTAACCCCAGCACTTGGGAGGCAGAGGCAGGTGAATTTCTGAGTTCCAGGCCAGTCTGGTCTATAGAGAGTTCCAAAACAGCTAAGGCTACTCAGAAACCCTGTCTCAAAAAACCAACCCCCAAAAAACCAAACTTAATACTTCCAGAAGTAGTGGTCTAGGCTTTTCACCTCAGTACTCAGGTGGTAAAGGCAGGTGGATATCTGAGTTTGAGGCCCAGCCTGGTTTATATATAGTGAGTTCTAGGACAGCCAAGACTGTAGAGAGACCCTTTCTCAAAAACAAACAAATGCTATCCTCACGAAGATACCGTGACAGGAACATGCTGTATGTTGCACTGTTAGTAACTGATTTGAGTACGGGTGACTGGTGGTTCTTCATACATGTTTGTGAGATTTGGTTCTCTCCTTCCCCCATGTGCTTCCTGGGGATTGCACTCATATATATCATCCGGTTTGGTAGCAAGTACCTGATGAACGAACTTACCAGCCATATTCTTCTCTGCAGTTTGTAGTGAATGCTTGCCTCTGAGCATAGTGCATATGTCCTGTTTTCATGTCCACTCCTGCCCCCAAATAATCTAGATGCTTACACAGAGAAACCAAAAAATAAAAATAAAAATGTATCTTTGGAAGCCTGTCCTGGAACTCACATTATAGACCAGGCTGGTCTCAAACTTGCAGAGATCTGTCTATCTCTGCCTCCTGAGTGCTGGGATTAAAGAAGTGCGCCACCACCTCCCTGCATACTTTTCTCTTTTGAGATAGTCTTGTAGTATGGCCCAACTGGTCTGCAACTTGATACTGTAGACCAGACTGGCCTCAAACTTGTAATGATCCTCCAGCTTCTGCCTCCCTTGGCTGGAGTTATAGGCGTGTGCCACTGAGGCCAGCTAGAGATGCTTCGAATTTTCATATCCTTCTCTTGTAAGAAGTGGTTCCAGTCTGGAAAAGGCTTCCAAATAAAATTGATGGATGAAAACAGTGGTGGAAATAGTTCAGTAGACACAATGCTGCTCTTGTTCCCTAGGGTTCTATGATCTGGGTAAGCCCACAACAGCCTACCTTTATCCTGAAACTGGCTACCCTCCCAGAGATGCACCTTGTGATCACTGTAGATTTGGATGCAACCATCAAAGTGTGGAACTGTCGTGATATGGATGCTCTGGCAACTAACAACATGTTATCTCCCTGCCGATCACTGAAAGCTGTTGTTACCAGGGATGGCCCAATTATCTTGGTAAGTGATCCCCCAAATCACCCTCTTGGAGCATCCGTCACAGTACACCAATAAATTATAGCTATAGAAATGCCTTTGGCCGGGCGTTGGTGGCACACGCCTTTAATCCCAGCACTCGGGAGGCAGAGGCAGGCGGATCTCTGTGAGTTTGAGGCCAGCCTGGTCTACAAAGTGAGTTCCAGGACAGCCTCCAAAGCTACAGAGAAACCCTGTCTCGAAAAACCAAAAAAAAAAAAAAAAAAAAGACATGCCTTTGTTTTTTTCAAGACAGGGCTTCTCTGTATTGTTTTGGATGCTGTCCTGGAACTTGCCCTGTAGACCAGGCTGGCCTCGAACTCAGAGATCCACCTGCCTCTGCCTCCCAAATGCTGGTATTAAAGGCATATGCCACCAATGCCCGGCTGAAATGTTTATGCCTTTAACCTAACTTCATGTACATCTCCTAAGCCATCCTTTTTGTTGTTGTTGAGACAGGGTCTCTTGTGTAGCCTTGCTATTCTAGAACTTCCTGTATAGACCAGGCTGGCCTCAAACTCAGTGATCTGCCTGCCTCTGTCTCTCGCTGGGATTAAAGGCATGTGCCACCCCCACTCTGCTCCTAAGCCATTCTTTTAAAAACAATGGTCAGAGATGACTCAGTGGGTAGGAGTGTTTTCTGTGTAAGCATGAAGACCTGAGTTCAAATACCTGGCACTCACGTAAAAAGTGGGATGTAGCCAAATATGCCAACACCCCCAGTATTGTTGGGGCTGGAAATAAAAGGGTGACTGTGGTTTGCTGGATGCTAGCCAGCCTAGCTCCAGGTTCAGTAAGGGACTGTCTCAAGGGAAAAGTTGGAGATTGATGGAGCAGGAATCTGACTCCTTCTCTGGCCTCCGCATATGCACAAGTATGCATATCTACACAAAAATGCACAAATGCACATAAGCTACACAGTTTTTCTAAATGATATCACATATTTGCTTCTTTCAAATGTTTGTTATAGAATTCATAATTTGGACAAAGACAGTAGAGAGAAAAATGTATTTTTTCATATCAGATAATATAGAAAAAATAATGTTGATACCCCAGTGAGTCCTTGAGGAAGAGTGTTTTAAGGCTTAGAAAATCTCTTTTATCATGTGTGTTTTTGAGTCAAATATGATATAGTCCTGGCTGTCCTGGAACTCACTATGTAGACCAGGGTGGCCTCAAACTCAGAGATCTGCCTGCCTCTGCCTCCCAAATGCTGGAATTAAAGGAATGCAACCCCACCACCAGGCTCTGCAAAAGTCTCTTTAAAATTTCTCTTTTTTTTTCATGAGAGGCAGAGACAGGTGGATCTGAGTTTGAGCCTGGTCTGCAGTGTGAGTTCCAGGACAGTAGACTTATACAGAGAAACCCTGCCTCAAAAAATGGGTGTTTGTCCCGTATGTGCGTTTATGCATCATATACATGCTTAGTGCCCTTGGAGGGCAGATGAAGTCACTGGAGCCCCTGGACTGGAGTTACAGTTGTGAACTGCCATATCAGTGCTGGAGTTGAACCTGCATTCTCCAGAAGAACAAGTGCCCTTAAAAACCGCTGAGCCACTTCTCTAGCCCCAGAAGGTCTCATTTTTGCTAAAGATCTATTTTTAATTACGTGTCTGTATGTGGGTGTGTGCCCACAAAGTCTAGAAGAGGGATTCAGATCCCTTGGAGCAGGCAAGGGTGAGCCACCCGAGGCAGATGCAGACAGGCTCTTACCCACTGAGCCTAGAAAGTCTCTTTGCATAGGATCATCCCGGGGTTCTGTGAGGCAGGCTGGTGGGTCTCAGGCCTGGCAGCGCTGGCAGCACCGCCTCCCTGCTACTTCAGGTTCCCCTCCTGATTTCAGGCCGGTGCCATTTCTGGTGACCTCTACACATACCGGCTTCCCGACTTACTGCTTATTTCTACAGTCCATGCATTGGAAGTCCCCATTAACCAGCTCTACTGCTCTCCTCACGTGAAGTGGGTCTTCCTGAATAAGAAAGAGCCACATGTCTTGCCAAAGGTAGGTCTGTTCTAGCAACTTGAACTTCGGGGTGGGGGGGAGAGTCGAGGGAGGTCCAGCCCTCAGGGAGGACCAGGCAGGCTGCTCCTCTTTCCTCAGCCCTACCACAAGCAAAAGTCATCCCCACAGTCAGAAGTAAAGCTCTGGGAAGCAGTAGTGCCCAGTTACAATGGCAAATGTCTGTTAGTGAGCAGCGCCCTTGAAAGTGGCTCAGCCAAAGACGGTGAAGCAGGGTCCCTGGAAACCTTTACTTTGCTGGCCCTGAACTCCTGCAGTCTTCTCGTCACTGAACAACACTCCCGCCGTCCCCAGGAATCCACCTCTGGTGCTGGATTTCAGACATGTGCCACCGTGCCTGTTGGGAGTCCCTGCTGGTCAGGCACACCATGGCCTGGCAGCGCTCTCAGAACTTGGCACAATATGGAAGATTTCCCCCACCCCCTGAAGTCTTCCTGCTCTCTCCCTCACTTTATTTGGAGCCTGCCTCTAAGCGCGGATGCCTGACTCATCTCAGGTGTGACCCTTGACACGGTTCCTGCAGAAGCTTCCCCCTGCTGCCACATAGAGAGCCTGATGACAGGAGCTGCTGTTTAATGCAAACTAGATGATGCCCCAGCCACTGTCCCATCCCAAATGCTTCCATTACTCTGAGGTAAAGCTGAGCTGTAACCTGAAGCAGTCTTCTGGAAGACTGTTTCTGTCACACTCACAGGCCCTTGTGGCCTGGTGACCAATGGACCGTGGGACAAGAGGGGACCTACACATACCTAGTACTAATTATCCTTCCTTTCCTCTGAACTCCCTGCTCTGTGGTACCTAATTCATAAGTGCGGTGAGGCAGACGGCCTGCTCGGAGGCCACGTGCTTCCTCAGGGCCCATGCATATTTATTTGCCTTTGTACATTGCTGTACTTTCAGAGCCAGCCTGGGTTACAGGAAAAACAGTCTCAATGCCTCCTCATAAAAAAAAAAAATCTAACAGCCCTGGACACAAAAAAAAAATCTACTTCTGTTTGAGAAGTCTATTGTGGGAGACTGACTGAGTTGCCCTTTAACCCGGGTCAGGAACTCCATTCTATTTCTGTCCTAGAATATGGCAGAGACAGGAAGACAGTGAGTTACTGGGACATTGAGTGGAAGCAATCGCTGCTCAGTCCATCTGCGGAGGAGAACGTGGCAGCCCACAGGCGTTTCCTCCTCTAGCCGCTTGCCTGGGGTTGCATACGTGCCAGGCCGCGGCACTCTTCACTGACTACTGTGCGCTGCTCTCTCTACAGGTGTTTTTCACTGACAGCTTACTGAGGCCAGCAGAGTACCCCACTCCTGTGTTATGTGTTATCTCTTTTACCTTATGTGTCAGAGCCTTCTGGACCCCACGGAGGGAAGACCGGATAACGCTGATGTACCAGAGAGGCGCCTATAGAACCGCGGGATTTGTCACATTTGACTTAGAAATGGAAAGGACAGAGGACAAAATAATTGTTGAAGGTAAACCTCACCACCTTAGACATTTCACAAGCCAGGCGTGGTGGCACATGCCTCAGATCAGGAGCCTGGGCTGAAAAGCTTCAGAGATGGGACTGTCTCAGAAACAAAGATTGGACGGGTGAGATGACTTAGCATGTGCACATTTGTGCATACATGCACACAGATGCACACACAATAATAGTGAAAACAATGAAAAGGCCAAGAATAGTGGTGTACACCTTTAATCTCTGCACTCAGAAGGCAAAGGACAGGTGAGTTGAGGCCAGCCTGGTCTACAAAGTGAATTCCAAGACTACCAGAGAGAAATCCTGTCTTAGTTTAAAAAAAAAAAAATACAACACACTGAGTGGTTGTACGTGCCTTTAGTCCCAGCCTTTAGTCCCAGCACACGGGAGGCAGAGAGGCAGGTGGATCTCTGTGAGTTCAAGGCCAGCCTGGTATACAGAGCGATTTCCAGGACAAGGCTCCAAAGCCACACAGAGAAACTGTCTCAAAAAAAAATAAAAAACAAACAAAACCAAAAACCCCTATATTATGGGGCTAGCCAAATTGCCTACAGCAGTGGTTCTAAACCTGTGGGTCGTGACCCCTTAGCAAACCTCTATCTCAAAAAATATTTACATTATGCCTCTGTGGTGATGTATTTATGATTTAGTAAAGATTTCCTGAAGTTGCCGGGCGGTGGTGGCACACACCTTTAATCCCAGCACTCGGGAGGCAGAGGCAGGTGGATCTCTGTGAGTTTGAGGCCGGGCTGGACCGATAGCCTCCAAAACAATACAGAGAAACCCTGTCTCATAAAAACCAAAAAAAAAAAACAAACAAACAAAACAAAACAAAAAAGAAACCCTATTTTCTCTCTCCCACAAGTACTCATATAAAGCCATAATGCATAACTTTGGCTTTTTTTCTGTGTGTGTGTGTGTTGTGTTGTGAGACAGGGTTTCAGGGTTTCTCTGTAGCCCTGGCTGTCCTGGAACTTCCTCTGCAGATCAGGATGATCTGGAACTTGCAGAGATCCCCTGGACTCTGGGATGTGTCACCATGTGATGAGGCAAACCTTTGTAAAGGGAACAGAAGGGCTCCTTAGCTAAATGTGAGCCCATGTCTGTCCGGTGGTCACACTCAGGTGCATGCTGCACCCTGCTCTCTCGGGCAAATGTGTTTCCATTTACATCATGTGTTAGGGGCTGGGTTCTAATTTCTTTCCTAGTACAGGTGTCTTTCCAGTGACTGAGCTATTACTGAGTGTCCACACTGTCCCTGTGTTACAGCCTGCCTTTCCATGATAAAGACGTGGATTTGTCAGTCCCCCAACTGTCTTCATGGTCTCCACTGGACTAGAGTCCCATGGGAGGAAGGGTGTGCTTTTCACTTAACAATAGGGATTTTGCTCTGACTTAAATGATTCAAAAATTGTTTCCACATTTTGTGTGTGTTTTGTATGAAACAGCACGTGTAATAGCAAGCTTCAAGTTGTCACATCACATGGAGAGCCCAGAATGGATGGGAGTCAGTGATAAGAATGTGATTGTGTGTTCAAGTGGGTCATCTCTATTAGTCTACAGCATGGCCGGGCTCCAGCTGCAGAGATTTCAGGACTACCCAGGAGAGATCATGAAATTACTGGTGGTATGTTTGGGAATGTTTGGGAATTTTGGGATACTTTCTTTCCAGTTGGCTCTTTTTAAAAAATAGATTTAGATTTTTTTGTTTTTTGAGACAGGGTTTCTCTGTGTACCCTTGGCTATCCTGGAACCAGGCTGGCCTCAAACTCAGAGATCCACCTGCCTCTGTCTCCCAGAGTGCTGGGATTAAAGGTGTGCAGTACCACCACCTGGCTAAATTTGTTTTTTAACGTATTACTGTTGGGGTGTGTGCCAATGCCTGTACATACACACGTATATACAGTGGCCAGAGGCCAACTTTCTGGAGTTGGTACTCTCTCCTTACACCCTTACGTGGGCTCAAGGGATGGAGCTCAGAGCAGCAGGCTTTCTCAGCAAGTGCCTTTACCGGATGAGTCATCTCATTGGCCCTTTAACCTACATTGTGATCTGACCTTGACTCCTGTCCATTCACATCTGGATGTCCTATGAAGAATCCTGTGTACGTCATCGTCACATTTATTGATGGCTGTTTGGAGGTGTACAAGTGGGAGGAGAGAAGTCATTACCTCACGAAGTGTTACCGCCTGCAAAACGTTAGACATCTGGGGAAACAAAGGTTAGCTCTGCTCTGCGATTTAAACTTTACCTTAATTTAAAAAAACTTTTGCTTTAAAGAGAAATTGAACTTTCTGTAAAAAGATATGACTAGCTAGGTTTATGATCCCAGTATCACATAAAGCCAGGAAGCCAGGAATTGTGCTGTGTGTGTGTGTGTGATTGCGCGTGCACACAGGAGGATCCAGAAGTTCAAGGTCATCTTCAGCTACTTAGGGAATTTGGGGGCCAATCTGGGTTAATTGTAAAACCATCTCAAAGAAGAAAATGAGAATTGGCTAGGTACAACACACACCTTTAATCCCAGTACTTGGGAGGCAGATTGACTCTCTTGTCAGTCCTAGGACAGTCTGGGCTACATACCCAGTACCAGGACAGCCTGGACTATATAGAGAGACTCTGTCTTTAGAAAGAGAGTCAGGCAGTGATGACAGACGACTTTAATCCCAGCACTCAGGAGGCAGAGGCAGGCGGTTCTCTGTGAGTTCGAGGCCAGCCTGGTCTACAGAGTGAGTTCCAGGACAGGTTCCAAAGCTACACGGAGAAATCCTGCCTTGAAAAAAAAAAAAGATTTTATCCCTCTGGATATGGTGGCACACACCTATAATTCCAGCATTCAGGACACTAAGGTAGAAGGATTACCTCAAATTTGAAACCAGCCTGGGCTGTATAGTGAAACCTTACTTTAAAAGTGTTTTTTTTTTCCCCACTTTGTGTGGTTTCTCTTCATTCTTTTGGGGGGTTTTGTTGTTTTTTTTTTCCCTCCACTTTGCTGTGGAGAAGCTTTTTAGTTTAATTCAATCTCATTTGTCAGTTCCTGGTTTGGTCACCTATATTTGAAGTCCTAGCCAGAACTCCCGCCTAGCCCAGAGTAATAGAATTTTTTTCTATAGATTCAGTTTTATTCATTTTCAGGCTTCAGGTCTCATCATGTCTTGCATCTGTTCTGAATGAATTATTGAATTACTGAGTAGTGGGTGATACAAGAATGTGGTGGATAGCCGGCCTTCCAACACCATTTATTGGAGAGAATGTGCCTTTCCCTTAGTCAATCAACTATAAATGTGTAGGTTCTGTTCCTGGGCTCTGATGCTTTGATCACAGTAGCTTTGTGATGTATTGGGTAGTGTGATACCTCTAGTTTTGTTGTTTTGGTAAGGTCATTGCTATTTAAAGTGTGTGTGTGTGTGTGTATGTATATGTGTATGTGTATGTGTCTATGTGTATGTGGTTTTGAGACGTTTCCTATAACCTGACCTTAAACTTGTTATGGAACTGAGGCTAGCCTAAAGCCTTCTGTATCCAAAGCTTGCCTTGAACTCCTGATCCTTCTGCCTCACTCGGTCTGTCTTTTAATTGGCAATAGTTATTCCTTCAGGGGTTGAAAGGGGCTTCACCGTGTCCCTCTGCCTTCTATGATGTGTTGAGAGAACGGTTTTTGAGTCTGTCGTTTTTGTAGATCCAGGTGTAATATCCTTCTGACTTCAAGTTTGTTTAGCGTTGTGTGTGCCATCCCTCTCCACCACAGGGTTTCTCTGTGTAGCTCTGGCTGTCCTGGAATTCACTCTATAGACCAGGCTGGCCTCGAACTCTGAGATCTGTCTGCCTCTGCCTTCCAAGTGCTGGAATCAAAGGCGTGTGTCACCACCAGCCGACTTTTATTCAGTTTTAGAAATTTGATTATGGTATATCTAGTGTGAATGTTTGGAGTTTAATGGGCTTGGGCTTGGTCAGCTTTTGATTCTGTAAATTTACCGATTTGGGGAAGTCATTTTGTTTTTCTTGGGCTGGGGGAGTGAATCCCAGGTCTTGCACAGGTAAAATATGAATTCTGCTACTGAACTTTACCCCAAAACTTGAGGGAGTTTTGCTGTGTTCTCAACATGGGTGGTGGAGGGAGGGGATGGGGGAAGGAGGACTAACCTCTCCTGCCTCAGTCACCTAAACTGATGTGGTTTGAGGCATGTGGCATGTCGCCTCTCATTGCTAAGCTTAGATAACCTATCAACCCAGAACTGTAGCTGAGGTCTGTCCCAGAAGGCTGGCATCAGCACTCACACGATGAATGACAGCCTATCTTTGCCAATGTGTGCATTTACACAAAAATAACCTGAGATGGCTCAGCAGTTAAGGCAATTGCCACCAAGCCTGACAGCCTGAGCTTGAGTCTCTGCAACTTTCTTAGAAGGAGAGAACTGATTTCCACAGGTTATTCTCTAAAACACACACACACACACACACACACACACACACACACACACACACACACACACACACACGAATAAGTAAATACTTAAAAGTTCTAGGCAAATTTAGGAATGTGATTAAAGAACCATTATCAGTTAGTGTGGCTACGCCCATCTGTTCACTGATGTTTTGTTTTTCTCCTTTGGCAGCGTGGTTCCCAAAACCCTGTGTGATAACGGGAGCATAGCTCGAGTGGTGACAAAGAGTGCACACTGCTGCTTCCTGGTGGCATATGTTTTGAAACTCTGCTCCTGAAAACGAATGGAATGGGCTGTGTCCTCTCTTCCTCACTATAATAAATCTCTATTTGCAAGGCTAGACTGGTGATTTTAGTGTTGCTAAGAAGTGAGGGGTCAGGTGCGGTGGTGCACACCTTTAATCCTAGTTAGAGGCCAGCCTGGTCTGCAGAGCAAGTTCCAGGACAGAGAAACCCTGTCTTGAAGGTCCCCCAACCCTCCAAAAAAAAGTTTACTTGGGCTTATGGACGTAGAAGGTTAGAATCAACATGGTGGGGTATAGAGGCATGAACAGCTGAGGGCCCACACCCTGATCTGCAAATAGAAGGCAGAGACGCACTGGGAACGGCACCAGTGTTTTGAAACCTCGAAGCCTGCTCATAGTAACACACCTAATCCTTCTAAAGTAGTTCCACCAACTAGGGACCAATTATTCAAACAATTGAACCAGGGTGGGGGGCATTCTCATTCAAATTAGCACCTATACATACACACGTGTACACCACACACATTACTTACTTAAAAAATCAAAATAGCCAGGGCGTTGGTGGTACACACCTTTAATCCCAGCACTCAAGAGGTAGAGGCAAGTGGATCTGAGTTCGAGGCCAGCCTGGTCTACAGAGTGAGTTCCAGGACAGCTTCCAAAACAATACAGGTCTCAAAAAACCAAAAAATCAAAATAAAAGCAGGGGAGTGGTAGTACATGCCTTTAATGGCAGAGGCAGGGGGATCTCTGTGAGTTCAAGTCCAGCCTGGTCTACAGAACAAGTTCCAGGACAGGCTCAAAGCTACACAGAGAAACATAGTTAAGCCACTTGGACCTGAAAGCAAAGGGTCCTCAATGTGGTGATCACAGCTAGCCTGGATCATATGACACCCTGTCTCAGAAGAAATAAAAGCCAAGGATGGGAGAGTTGGTGTGGCAGCTAAGACCATATTAATGAAGGAGTGAACTCTGATCAATTCAGATTTATTAACAGGTGCCAATCAATAAAGTACAACACTGCCACTGAGCTGCTGCCCCTCTAGTTCCCAATGGGGACCTGAAAGGTCTGGGGAGGGTCAGCAAGTCCTTAGTCCAAGAGCATGTGACCTCCCCCATTCTTATTGGGTCACATATCCCTAGAGAAGACAGTGCCCACTGGACCAAGTGTCTCTAGCTCAATTAGCTATCTGACTGGATTCCCACAACACCACAGCTGCTCTTCCTGACGACCCGGGTTTAATTCCCAGTACTCACATGGAAGCTCACAACTGAAGATCCAGTTCCAGGAGATCCAACATCCTCTTCTGGCCTCCGAGGGCCCTATATGCTATGGTTCACAGACATACATTCAGGCAAAACAATGCCTGCAATCCCAGCACTCAGGAGGCTGAGCCTGATCACAGGGATTCAAGGCAGCCTGAACTATGTAACATAACCCTTAAAGGGAAGCTAAGGTGGCTAAAACAGAATAGAAGGTTTTTTGTTTTTTTGAGACAGGGTTTCTCTGTGACTTTGGAGGCTGTCCTGGAACTCACTCTGTAGACCAGGCTGGTCTCGAACTCACAGAGCTCCACCTACCTCTGCCTCCCAAGTGCTGGGATTAAAGGCGTGCACCACCAACGCCTGGCCTAGAAGTTTTTTGAGTTGGGGAATGAGAATAATGTGAAGTGAAAAAAGCAGGCAAATCAATGTCTTCATAGAATTCTAAGGAATTTTGCCAAGTGGTGGCAGCGCATGCCTTTAGTCCAGCACTCGGGAGGCAGAGGCAGGCAGATCTCTGAGTTCGAGCAGCTAAGAGCATTTGCTGACCTTACAGAGGACCTGAGTTCAATTCCTAGCATCTACATGGAAGCTCATAACCCGCTGTACCGTGTGTAATTCCAGTTCTGAGAGATCAGCACCCTCTTCTGGCTCCTCTGGCATAAGGCATGCACATGGTACACATACACATAGAATCAATTTCAAAAAATAAAAATCACATGCCCATAAAATCAGCTCTTTAAAAAGGCTCCCAACTTTACAAAGCATACATGAATGCTTTAAAGTCATAGATTCAAATGCACCCGCTGTGAGTGTGCACAGGAAGGCAGTGTTGGCGTTTTCCTCTCTTGCTCTACATCGTAAAGCCAGTTCCTGCATTTGTGGGGTGGGGGGAGAGCATGCCACAGTGCACATGTGGAAGGCAGAAGACAACATGCAGGGCTAGGTTCTCTCCTACCTCGTGGGTCCCTGAGATCCCGCCAGGTCGTGAGGCTGGTGGCAAGCATGCTTACTGACTGAACCATCTTGCTGGCCCCTCCTCCTCCTCCTTTTTTTTTTTTTTTTTTGAGACAGGGTATCTCACTGAGTTTGGAGGTCACCCCTTCTCCTGGGTGGCTGGCCCATTTGTGTCCACCTCCACCCCCCACAGCACTGGAGCTGTGGACACCCAGCTCTTACTGCAAGGCCACTGGGGGGGGACCTGAACTCAGGCTTCACTCATGTCAGCACTTTACCTAATGAGCCAGTCCCCAGCCCCACACCTGACTACTGTGCTCTGTAACCGTAAGCATTTCACAGGAAGAGCCGTCTTTAGTTACATAAACGCAGTGTCAAAGGTACTTTGGCACAAATCTGGACCTGTTCTTAACATGTACAGTGAACTGTAGTCATCTTTCCCTAGTCACAGAACTGGCTTCCATTATTTCAGTTGCCCATGGTAAACGATCTGAAAATCTTAAATGAGAAGTTCTGGAACTGGGCTGAGGCTGCAGCTTAGTGGTAAAGTGCTTGCCTACCATTCCCCAAACCCTGGGTTTGGTTCCTGTCACCACACACACAATAAGTTTTAAAAAAAAATTCAGCCAGGTGATGGTGGTGTAGCTTGGTGGTGGCACAAGCTTTTGATCCCAGCACTCAGGAGGCAGAGGCAGGCAGATCTCTGAGTTTGAGACTAGCCTGATCTACAAGAGCGAGTTCCAGGACAGCCTCCAAAGCCACAGAGAAACCCTGTCTTGAAAAATCAAAAAAAAAAAAAAAAAACATTTATACTGGCAGTTGAAGAGTTGGCTCAGTAGTAAAGAAGACTTGCTGCTCTTGCAGAGGACGGAGGTTCAATTCCCAACACCCACATAGTGGCTCACAACAGTCTATATAACTCCAGTTTCAGAGGCTCTGATCCAATGCCCTCTTCTGGCCTCTATGGGCATTGCATGCATGCAGGAGAAAACTCATATTTAAAATAAAAATCTTTAGCCTGCTGGACTTGTGGCACACATCTTTTATCCCAGCATTCAGGAGGCAGAGGCAGGTGGATCTCTCTGAGTTCAAGGCCAGCCTGGTTTACACAGCAAGTTCCAGGACAGCTAGGGCTATGTAGGGAAGCCTTGTCTCAAAAAAAAAAACAAACAAAAAAAAAAACTTAAAAAATTATTCAGGTTTGGTGTAGTGGAGCAAGCTTTTAATCCCAGCACTTGGGAAGCAGAAGCATTTGGATCTCAGAGTTCAAGGCCAGCCTATTCTACAGGATAGCCAGGGCTACAAAGAAAAAAACCTGTCTTAAAAACAAAGTATCCTTTATTGGTTATTTTTCTCATTGCTGTGACCAAAAAAAAAAAATCTGACAAAAATCAATTTAAGGAACAGTTTATTTGGGCTAATGGTGTTAGGGGAAACAGCCCTGTCATAAACAGGAGTGTGAAGAAGTTGGTCACAGTGTGTCTATATTCAAAAGGCAGAGGTAAGCACTCTCTTGTTCCTTTGTCCCTTTTTAGTCGGTGGATAACTCCAGACATGGGATTGTGCTACCTGAATTCAGGGTGCGTCTCCTGTTACACCTCTCTGGAAACAACCTCCTAGTCTTTCCCGGAGGAGTGTCTCCTAGGTGATTCCAAACCTCCTAGACTTGCCTGGAGGTGTGTCTCCTAGGTGATTCCAAACCCAGTCAGGCTGACCTTGTAAACTGTGTGTTAACTTCCTCAGTCCCATCCAGGGCATGAATCATCCCAACATGTGCCCAGTTCATATACTACCCGTTCATTCGTCACTTAGTGGCTGCCTGCCTTCTGGGACAAACTGTCAGTGTAAATGAACACAGCTGAGACCATGGAAGAGCAGTGCCCTCATCAAAGGAACGTGGGGATTTATTGAGGGCATGTAAGGTCAGTCACATTCTTGAGCATGCTCAATTTAAAGTCCTAATCCTGGACAGACTCGGGTCTGTATTTCTGGGTGAGCACAGCTCAAGGAACACCTATTCAAAGGGTATGAAGGTAAACAAAAAGACTTCTGTTTTTATCCAAAGAGTTTTTGCTGAAATAAAACGGACACTTTGAAGGCCCCTGAAGGTGCCGTCTTGCTTCGTTGCTAACAGCGGGGCCTCCAGTGAAAGACTAGCAGAGCAGCTTTACTCCAGTTTTCTGGCTGGATTTCCCTTCCCCATTTTCATTTGGTTTGAGGATGGTTTGGGAAGGGTGCCTAAGACAGAAGTATGTGGCCCAAATAACCGGTGGATACGAGAATTCTCCTGCCTCAGCCTGCTTAATATTGAGGTTATAGCCAAGAGCTACCATGCCCCGATGTCTTTCATTTAAAAAAAAGACTTTAAAAGTATTTCGGTTATTTTTCTTTTGTGGATGACAAAATTCTGCAATAACACAGTTATTAACAGTTTTGTCTTTTTTTTTTTTTTTTGGTTTTTGTTTTTTAGTTTTTGGAGACAGGGTTTCTCTGTGTAGCCTTGGCTGTCCTGGAACTCACTTTGTAGACCAGACTGGCCTAAGTGCTGGGCCTAAAGGTGTGCACAACCACCACACAGCTGATAGTTAATTTAAAATTTCTAATGTTCCTGACTGTTGAGTTCCTGTGAATTGGGCTATAGATGAGTGCTTCAACTAGAGATACTGATGTGTCTCGTGTCCTTTTGAGCATGCTCTAACGTGTAGGGACTCGACTTGACTGTATTGTGGGGATCCACTGACCTTGCTGCCACCCAGAAACACGCTTCTGCAGGCAAGAAGTCCCCCCAACAAATGGCAGTCTAAAGTCCGGGTCTGTTTGCCTCTTTCCTGGGTCTGGTGGCATTTGCAGCCTGTGCACAGACCATGCTTCTTTTT